CATCTTTACTATTAAATAAGTAAACATAGCAATATCGAGTACTGTCGTCAATAAAAGTTATGAAATACTTTTTTCCACCGCGAGATGGTATTGACTTCGTGTCACAAATATCTGTGTGAATTAAGTCTAAAGGATTTGAATTCCTTTCAACCGACTTATAAGGATATTTAACATACTTAGATTCCACACATACTTGACATTTTGATTTGTCACATTCAAACTTGAGCAGTACTTCCAAATTAATCATTTTCTGTAAGGTTTTATAATTGACATGACCCAAACGTATATGCCATAATTCATTTGACTCAAGTAAGTAAGACGAAGATGAAACTTTATTATTATTTTCAACAACCATTACATTCAGCTTGAAAAGGCCCTCAGTGAGGTAACCTTTTCCTACAAACATTTCATTCTTACTTATTACAACCTTATCGAAAACAAAAACACATTTAAAACCATTCTTAACAAGAAGTCCAGTAGAGACTAAATTCTTCCTAATCTCGGGAACATGAAGGACGTTGTTCAAAGTCACCACTTTGCCGGAAGTCATTTTGAGAAATATCTTCCCACATCCTTCAATCTTCGCCTTTGAAGCATTTCCCATAGAAATCGTCTCATCGGGTCCAACAGGAGCATAAGAAGCAAAAGCTTCTCTAACAGCACAAACATGGCGAGTGGCTCCAGAATCAATCCACCACTCTTTAGGATTGCCCACCAAGTTGCATTCGGAAAGCATGGCACATAAGTCATCAACATCATCATGCTTTTCAACCATGTTTGCTTGACCCTTCTTCTTGTCTTTCTTCGGAGCACGACACTCCGTAGATTTGTGTCTGGTTTTTCCACAGTTGTAGCAGTTTCCACTGAACCGCTTCTTGCTTGGGTTGTATTTCGGTCCAGAAGCCTTCTTCCTCTTTTTGTTCTCTTCAACAATATTTGCTCCCATTATTGTTGAGTTTCCACGGCCTCTCTTTTCAGCAGCTTTGTTGTCCTCTTCGATTCTCAATCGAACAATGAGATCTTCAAGGGACATCTCCTTGCGTTTGTGTTTCAAGTAGTTTTTGAAGTCCTTCCACAAAGGAGGCAACTTCTCAATCATCGCTGCTACTTGGAATGCTTCATTGATGACAAGACCTTCAATGAAATTTCTGTTAGTAAAAATACCAAGATTACTACTTTCAACATCAATATTAAATTGAGTTATACCTTCAGCAAGGAGATCGTGAATAATCACTTGCAATTCCTGGACTTGGGTAATAACAGACTTGCTATCTACCATTTTGTAGTCCAGAAACTTTGCAGCAACAAACTTTTTCAACCCGGCATCTTCGGTTTTGTATTTCTTTTCAAGCGCAGTCCACAGTTCTTTTGACGTTTCCACGCCACTGTAGACGTTATACAAAGCATCCTCCAGCCCGCTTAGAATATAATTCTTGCACAAAAAATCTGAATGCTTCCACGCCTCAATCACGAGAAAGCGTTCAGTTCCTGGAGTTTCGTCGGACAGCATAGGAACATCTTCCTTGATGAACTACTGGAGACTTAGAGTAGTCAAGTAGAAGAACATCTTTTGCTGCCAACGCTTGAAATCAATCCCGGAAAATTTTTCGGGTTTCTCCGCCGGTGCCAATGCTGCCGGTGTCGTTCGACTTGTTGAGGCATTGGCAGTCACCATTGGAACAGCTTGGTTCTCATTTTCATTAGTCATTTCTGTAAAAGAATGACACAAACGTTAAAATCACGTAGATTTTAATAGAGTACAAAACCACAAAGGTTTTACTCTTCCAGAAACAGTAAGTACAAATACAGAAATCAAATTAAATTCCTTAAGCTTGTTAGTAGACTGTATTTGTAAAATAATTCTGGAAATATAAATGAGTATAAACAGAAATGACATAAAACCAATTCGAGCCCACTGAATTCACAGTGTTTCCTTAAGGAATTTAATCCCCTCCTAGTACCCAAGGTTATGGATTATTTCCTCCCAGGATAGAACGAATTACCCACTGGTGTAGTGGTACTTCAAACCCCAGTGTTTCAGCGAACACAAAGTTCGGTAGCAAATCACACTTACTTTTTGCTTTGTTTGATGCTAAAAGTATGCAGAAGAGGAGAAGAAACTCAGAAAATCGTAGTGAAATTCTGAGCAGAATAGTGTTGTATTTATAGCCAAAGTTAGGCTGAAATCTGAAGAGGTGCAACTCTTCAGAATGGTTGTTTATGCAAAACGCCCAGAGGGAAAATTGAAGAGGGTAGTTACTTTTCTGTTACCAAAACAGAAAAACGGATTGGATTTAATATTAATATTTCGTCGAGCCGAGCGAGCGACGACGACGACGGCGCGAGGCTTGCCTTCTTCTCAACTCTTTAAGAGCTAGAAGAAGAGCAATTGCTTATATACCCATAAAAAACCTCTTCCTCTTCCAATATGGGACAATGCCCATTTGCAAGGGGGGGAACTTAAAATTTCACTCAAAAATTTTATTTCCCTCCATTTCCCATTCACCCTCTTTTAAGTATTTAATATATTAATTAAACACATCCAAAACCCAACAGTTATCTCCGGGAAATGCCCCTATAGACTTATGTACTTGGACTTGCAATTAGAAGCTCAGGGCTTCGTTAGTGGATTCAGTTATCAGATATGTTAACGTTTATGTTAGAATTGCATTTTTAGATGATTATTATCTTAAGAACTATTTATGAATTTATTGAGTATGATGTTCAGTTTAGACTTTCAGCTAAGTAGAACTGGAGAGGTTACGTAGGTCGGTTGTCATCACATTCCACCCTAATTTCGAGGCGTGACATCTTTCAAACTTAAATATAATAAGTACAATATACATACCAATGCTTACTTGTACAATCAAATTTACTCTAATCTCAATAAAATGATATAAAGTAGAACAAGATAAAAGATACTTTAGAACTCTATAAGCTCACACTTCTCCCAGGAAACCACGCAAGAATCATTATACTATATGCATATACTAGTCAAAGATTAGTTTGTGTTGCGCGCGGGCCCAACAACACATGTCCTAACATTGTGTTGCATCCCAGGAATCTTTTTTCATTTGTGTATTTGCTTCTTTTTCTTTTTGTTTAGATGTTCAAAAGAGTCACAACCTTACTGTGATTTAAATTTGTTGTTTATGAGAAAATAATTTTTTTAAGACTTTAAAATATGCAAGACTAACTATTTCTTTTTTGTCTGAACGATATTTTTAATCGTGAATTACTTTTTCATGATGATATTATATTATTCAGTTGAGCATAACTACTGCCATGCCTTCTTTTTTTTTTTTTTTGGATATTGCATATTCTTTTTTTTTTTTTTTTTTAAATATTCATTTTGCCTGGAAGTTGTTTATAGGATAATCTCTCTCCCTTTTGACACTTCGATAATAATTCATGTGTTTAATTAGGGGTGATGTAGTATCAACCTTATGGGTTTATTCAAACTTAGTCAAACATTAACTTTTGAACTTTGTATATCAAATGGACTGTGGTAGAATTCAAATACGAACTGATAAAGGTCGAATCCAAATTTCGCCCTTGTGTTCAACTGTAATTTAATTAAATGAACCAAAATAATACTTCTGAACCCATTTTTGATACTTGTCAATAGATGATACTTGCTTTTATTTATTTTTTCACTTCAACAAACTTCCTTTTTTTCGTTTAGAAAGTAGTGTCTTCCGCCACAATGTTGAAACATTTTTTCATGACCTTGCCAAGTGCAGAGAAATAAGTTTTTGACGTTTTTCCTTCTTTGTATTTCACTATAAGAATTATATTTGGACACTTAGAAAGTGTTCTTACAAATTAAAAAATGAATCATAATTCGACAGGTTTTTCCTTTTTAAGTTTTGCTGTTTTCCAATTTTTCCGAAAAAAATAGTAGCTCATGGAAAAGTTTAATAAATTGTTAACAAATTATTGACTTCTCAACAACTGACTATAGTTTGGCGTTTTTATAAACAATTCTTATAAATGTTGGATATCTTCTATATATCAATAATCTCTAAGTTCAGTATATCAATTAAGATCATATGTTTATTGGATATTTATTTTTACCTCAATTATAAGTGAAAATTGGCAATTCAAAAATTTCATGCCAAGCGCAATTTTTTCTTGAAGAGCTCATTTATAGTGAATTAAATAATATAAAGATAAGGAGAAAAAAACGGCACGGGCCCAAGCTCATATGAAATGATTAATATAAATCAAGTTCATTAAAGGTTAACCTTATTTTTTTGTTAATTTAGGTATGAATAACAAACTTAATCTTAATGTTAGTTTACGATCATTAGGGAGCTCAAGTAAATTCCATTGTGAATTATTTTACAGTAAAGTTATGGAGTTATATAAACTTTCTAAATAATGCAGTTAGATATGAGATATTTGTTTCAAGGGTCAATTGCGGCAACTTTATACTTTTAATTTTTGGAACTATGCGATTAGTAATTATTGACAAGCTAACTACATAGAGTTAACTCTTGTGACTCATTTTTTTTTCTTAACATATTAATATATTACATTAAGCACTATCTACAACTGATGAGACCCAATAACACTATGCTAAGTATTAGAGTACAATTCTTCTCTTTCTAAAAAATATTATGATTTTCTTGGACTAAGACATTAATTATCTAATTTTTTTAATACCATGCTTTATTAGTAACTATACAGTCTATTCTCTTGTATAGTGATTCCAACTATTAACACCAGATAGATCATATTAGTCTTTTAGGATTTGAAATGATAACACCTCCTATTTGGATTATGCTCTGTTATTAGTAGCTTTGTTATTTCTAAATGTAGAGTCTTATAATATTAAAAAGAAGTGGAAAGGAAAAAAGAAGTGAAAACAACATCTTCAAGGATTCCATTTAAAGGCTTTTTGTGAGTAATTATTAAACAAAGAGAGTTCATACAACAGATGGAGAGAAGCGAAAAAGAAAAAAAGAAAGGCCCTTCAGTTTCTTCATGCCACGTAGAGCATCAAAAAGTTGTAGCTTTTGATTAGCTGATGAATAATGAGAAAATCTAGCTACTAATACCCACACCACCAGCTTTAATATAAACCAAATTATATATTTGGACATGGGATGTAATGAATTACACTTGAGACTAAAACGAAAAAATGAAGAAGACCACACTTATCAACAGTGAGTCAATAACAAATAAATCAAATAATAATTCTACACTAACAACTAGAAGAAACTAGAGTCCCCAAATGAGTAGGAGGTTATCGACCCATATGCTGTTTTTCTTCTGTCACATACTATTTTTACCACAGCCAAAGTCCACAAAGCCACACTGTCTTCAGGTGCAATAACACCATATGCATCCTTAAGTCTGGAATTTGTCATGCAGCTATATGAATGCACCATGTCTAGAAAGAAAGCCTTGGCATCTGTCACCAGCCAGTTTTCGCTCGCTTCATCCCGCTTGAACTAAAAGGAGATAGACTACCCCTTGGTCGGGGACTCTCTTCTCTGAAATTGTTATTCAGCAAAGCAAGTTCTCTAAGTTGGTGCCTTTTATATAAGTCCTGCGACTCGTCCTGCAATTCCAGGAAAATAAACACTAAATCAGCAAAGTTGATTCATTGTATACCAAAGAAATCAGTTGGCTTCCAGTGCCTCAAATCTTTTGAGATTATAAATAATAAGCCTTTAATTTCAGTCATGTTTGTTCATCGTAGACTATTGACTAGGCAAAAGAAGATACTCCATAGGGAAACAGTCGTTACATTACACCCTTTTCCACATGAACGTTCAAGTTCAGAGGTAAATTAAACAAAGTACATAACCACGCAATATATCTGCTTGTGGAAGGAAAACTATACGACAATTTTCTATCCGAAAAGTTCATTTTTAAAGTATGCTGGTTTCTACTGCAGCCACATAAGGACTAAAACCAGATTGGCACATGATAATGAAGGCTATCTTCAAGTCTATACATTGATCTAAGGGAGATACTTACCACAGGTTTTAGTAATTCTTCAATAATTTCCCTTGCTTGTTTCAATTGTGTATCAACGATATTGATGGGTAACTCTGCCTCAAGTAAAACATGCAGCGGCTCATTGAGGTGTTCATAACCTGGTCGCCCCCTTAGACTCTCCTCCTTCAATAATACAAGACATTAATTAAGAGAAGTTAAGCAAATTACTGGCAGTTAACAAAACTAATTACCGAAATGGTATGTAGAGGTGAGGATCATAGAGAGAGAAAGGTTTCTACCTGGAACAAAGAGCAGTAAAATGTGCAGAAAAGATAGAAAAACTTTACCTTGTCAGGGTCTTTAATTGAACCCTTTCCTCTTATAAATACACGACATCCAGTAGAAGCTTCCACCCGTTTCAGGGAATTGCCTCTAGGTCCCAAAAGCCGTCCGACAAAGTTGAACTGCATACCGCAAAGTATGTGACTTAGTGCAATCATTATAGGAATGTGTGTGTAAACAGATTCATCCTTGTGCTACCTCCTATCTTATATGAACTACTATTATGCGGAGTAGTCAAAAATCTATCTGCAGATGGCCTCCAAGACTTGACATTGATATCATATACTAATGGATTATAATGATATCTACTGCCTAAATCATTTTATGCACACCCAATGCAACTATCACTAGAAGGTAAGTGACAAGATTGCTGAAAAAGTAAAATGAATAAAATACTATCAACAGATTTCCAAGTCAGCTTACATTTGGATATCTTTCGACGGGTATATCTAACCGCAAAATCCTCTTCACAACAAATGAACTTGGACTTCCTGGTGCTGCTTGCCAGTCGATGGGCATTCCCTGCAGTCCACCTAATCTTTGCTGCAAAACAAATTTCACGCTAATCAAAACGCATATATCAAAACAGAAAGCAGCGCAGCCAAAAAACTGGAGAGGGACATGGACGGGCTAACACAAAAGTGCTGGTCAGCAATTATGCCAATGTCTCCATGGAAATGGCTTGAGAGCATAGAGTAATCACCAACGGATATGAAGGTTAGTCACTAAATTTTCCTGTGGAATTTTCTGAGATTGAAACTCCCTGCTCAGGACTGGGGTTTAGTTGTTATTATTGTATGAAACTGAATCATAAGAACCAAATTCCAATAACAATGAATGGCAAACAAAAGATTCACCAAGCCCTCTCACCACCTTAAATATCCTTTGCAAGTCAAGGAAACCAAGAAAAACAGACATATGAAGTATTGAAGGCTGTAGAGGAAGAACAACACTTAGACCAGCAGCAAGAAAAAGGAAATGGGATAGGTTGAAAGCACAGTGCTATGACAAATAAATTTATTAACATGTCTTAGTAGTGTCATTACCGGATCTACACTAATTTGCTTTTTCCTACTACCATATAAAGTTTCATGAACAAAATGTTGACAAAGGACAAATAATATACATAGAAAAGTGAAGCCTCAGAAGCCTATTCAATGCGTCAAACCGCCTTTGCATGTCTGAAAGATTACAGAAACACATGTTTGAGTGTTTCAAATGCTTTTTGTTTAAATGAATCATTCCTTTGCATGAATTTAAAGGGAACGGAAAGGATATATTTCACTCCTAAGCATGTCAAACAAAATGAGCTGGTTCATTCCTTGGCATGAATCTCTTTAAATAGGCTTTAGAGAAGTCTAACATCAAAGATAGGGTATTGATTTTTTTGTTCAAAGCAAGACTGAAGATATTGTCAAACTCTCACTGTATATGGATATGAGCTAGCTGAATAATTTGCAATCCCATCCCATCTTTTAGGTTCCAGTTGGGCAATATGTATCCCGCTGGGTATGGCTCGTAGTAAACCTCTGTAAGATAAGGAGGATCATAGATTGCAGCAATGACACAGCAGTTTGCAACTTTAGAAATCTGAAGGAGGTCACACGAAGGAATACATTATTTTCTTGAAGTATGATGTTTTAGCATCCCTAAAAAAAGATGAAGAAACGTTGTACTACAATCCCCAAGTAAAACAGAAAAAGCTGATAGTTGAAACTTTTCTCATGGGTCTAACTTCTTTCTTCACTTCACAGATTATTTATTCTTCCGACAATTTTTCTTCACTTCACTGTTTTGCCACCCCCATTGCGAAAATCAAACTGTTGATATTTAGCTGAATTGATAAACTTTCTGAACTACAAGCCAGACAGATCAGAGTAGTCCTCATCAATCTCTCTCACGAGCATTTAACCTTTTAATTGTTTTGATACCACAGAGCCACGTTGACAAAGGCAAGTATACAGCAGTTTATAGATTTTCCTTTTTATTTTTATTTTTTGACAAGTATAAAGCAGTATATAGATAGACACAAATTGTCATAATATGGATGTATCCATGCATATTTTTCTTTTAAAACCTGAAGGCAAGATCTCAATTACATACTTTCTCACCACATACACTTTATATTGCATCACAAGAATAAATGTATCCGTGTATCCAAAATTTGTGTTCTAATTGTAATTTATGCTTTTTCTTATGTAGGTTAACCTGTATTCTCAATACTAATTTGAGCACTTCCTAAGTCTCTAAGCATTATTTTTCATGGAAACTGTTGTCGGTTTTATTCTAAGGAGCATGGTTTCATAACTAGTACTTATTGGGCTATGCTGAAATTCCGGTTCAGTTGAAAGCTGTGCAGCAAAAACTCTGCACAGTGTCTTTTAGGGGTAAAGAAAAATTCTGCCTAATCTTAATCAACTTGATCAAAGGCAATGAAGTCATAAGAGAGCAATTGTGATGTCAGAGATCTTTCTTTGGACTCTAATATTCCACTTTTCTGTTTATAATGATGATTAAACTCACTAAATTCTTTTAGGTGTGCCACGATGATACTCATAAAGAGAAGGAGCAAGACATGTCACTTTACTGTTTTTCCTTACATCATGTCGTCGTCTTTGAATTTTAGTAGAGAAACCATTAGTCTCACTAAAAGATTAGAACATAGCTAACACTTAATAAACAGAAATGTGGGAAGTTTAACATATTATGTCGTGTTACACATATGCTCACCTCTTGAGGAGTGTTCCATCCATTAGTCCAGCCACCTAAGGGTTTTCCTCCAATATCTTGCATCATGTCAAAGGAAGCCATAGGACTAGGGCTGCCGCGCTGTAGTCTGTCATAGTCACTAAGTCCTTGATTGGGGATCATTCCAGAAACTCTTAATATTTCTGTAAACGTGATGGACATTTGCAGAATTAATGCACAGTGCTAGTAAGTCAAAGTAAAATCAACTTAACTACGTTCACTTGAACTTATACATCTATATAGACAATCATTTTATCTCAAATAAGTTGCTATATAAGCACATTAACTTGGCCACTCAGGTTTATATTTCCTATGAAACAAGATTATACATGCTTCTCAACTGAATCAGTACGTTTTTTGTATATATATGTATATACTTAAAAGGGGAGGGGTGTGCATATGATGAAAAGTAGGAATTTAAATGGAAAAGAAAAGAAACCTTGATTCAAGAGTCGGCTACATATTGGAAGGACTTGAGTAAAGGGTCCAAGCTTCTGCCTTTCTGCTAACAGCTCTGTCAAGTACTGACTACAAGAAATTAACAACACATGTATAACATAACATGCTAAAGAAACGAATTGGGCAAAACACCACACAAACAAATTGGGCAAAATTACCTATCAACATCTAGGTTGCTCCTAATTATATGAGGAGAAACAGCTCTTGCAGGTGAGAAATTTAACTTCTGATTGTACAAATTTGACATCACCCCCAAGTTTGAACGGCCTGTATAGTGAAACCCTGGAGAACAGGAAATAAAAAGATAAATCAAATTTCTGCTCAAATGAATGGCCTTTTATTGAGTTGAGTTAAATATATACGTGGGGTAGGAATAAGAACACGTTTTTTGTTTTGGTATGTGTAAAGACCCAACTGTAATAGTAATTCTTTCTTTTTATTTATTTAATTGTGTCCAGCACAAAGGAAGGAAAGAAAGAGTACATGTACATCCCCTTTTAGTAAGATTTCTTTTGGTAATAACATTGTTGTTCACAGGAACCTCGTCAGCATCACTTGTCTTTTGTTCTCACGTACATGAAAATTAAGAGTATTATACTGTGCTCACGCGCCACCTCGTAAAGCCTCTTCATTTTTGCACAAAATTGATTAAAATGTCGAGGGACTTTTTCTATTATTTATCCTATTTTCTATCGGACCTTATTTATATTGAATATTTATATCAACTCAATAAGTGACATATGTATTCAAAAAATAAGTATCACTAACTTATCTTAATTTATTACTTAACTATGATAAATTAGTATAAATTTCGGTGTGAATAAGGTGTCATCATAGGGTATTCGTATTACATGCCCAGCTAATAAATGGGGCTTGAACTAGTGGCGGAGCCACATTTAACCAAGGGTTGTCAAGCGACATCTTTTTGCTGGAAAATTACACTATATTGCTAGATAATTTTTTTTATTTTATGTATATTTATTATACGTTGACTCCCTTAACTTTTCGATATATCTAACTATTTATATTTTGACAACTCTTAAAGAAAACTTTGGCTCCGCCACTAACCTGAACCCTTCACCTTAATTGTGAAAAAGATAGGGAACTCAGTGAGCTAGCCCTTAATTCTCTATCTAATCTGTATTCACTCAATCATCCAATTTTATTTGCACAAACGTAAAGTAAATAAAAAAAAATTGTACATTGGCGTAAAACTTTTTTACGCCATCAACTTAAATGACCTACGATAGTAGATAAATATCTATATTAATTTAATTTAATTTGATTATCTAAAAAAATAAAGTAATAGATTTAATTTAGATGCATGGACTGTATAAAGAAATTTACAGTATCAATGTAGCTTAAACTATAATAACAAATTGGTCCAAATTTATTATGTTATCCGTGATCAGTATTTATCATAAAATACTTATAAGTAATCTAATTGTGTATATATATATCTTTGGAATGTCAGTGCATAAACGTTAAACTCGTAAATAAATAACTAGAGGTGATAGGAAAAAATTCATTATGTACAAATTTTTATATCATTTGTGTATATAAATTAAATAAAAAGATGTTTCTTATCACCTGTGATTTGACCAAAAGATTTTAGGGTTTTGAATGGAGACATTTGCATTTAAAATACCGGATTTCCTTTCAAAATATCATGTGAATTGACCTGTTCTTTAAGTGTATATTTCAAATTCAAATTTCAGAATTTTTTCTTCCGAATTTGAAATGCATGACATCAAAATATAGTCTGACGAAGTATCGTTGACATAGTGTTTTTTAAGTACTTAATAGATATTAAGCAATTTGCTTACTAATCCGTATGTTCAAATGTAAGTTTTGAAATTCTCATATGAAGGTTAAATTAACTTCAAAATTTTTGAAGACCATGTATATATAAATAAAGGTATAAAATATAAAAAGAAAATATTCTTCCCTCCATAAAATGTGTCAACACTTTTCGCATTTTGTAGTCAAGTTTTGCAAATGCTTTTTCTCAATATTTTTTTATATGAGAAACATTACAATTTATTCTTTTGATAATAAAATAAACTGTAAAATATTACATATATAACAACTCTAAAGAGCATTCAGAGCCACATCACCTTCTAGGAAGGGTACTGCAACCTCTAGATTTCCAAACGGAAACAAACAACTATCCCTCTAATTTTTTTTTTTGGGTTTTCCATCGGCGTTGGAGCTCGACTATATTCAGATTCGTGCTGTGTAGAGCCCTATTCGGGAGGAATCTCTCCCTATCCATATCTACAGTTCGAACCCGAAACCTCTGGTTAAGAGAAGAGGAGTCTCATCCATTGCACCACATCCTTTGGTAGCCTAGTAACTATCCTCCTAATTACATAGCTTATGTATTCAGTATTGACAATTCCTTGCCCTCTTTGAGCTTTTTACTCACTCTATTCTTTCTTTAATTTCCTTTGTATCTGTACTATTTCAAATTTGTATTTATACATGAACTCCTGAATATTTTTCAATTCCAAGCTTGCCAAGTATAAACACTACAATTTATTCTTAGTACTTTTGATGTGATTTTTAAATATTTAACTTTTATTCCCAAAATAAGTGAAAACTGATAAAAGAATTGAGGTTGAAGAAGTGATTTTAAAAGGGACATCAATATCAATATTTATTCCGCTGGAAAACTATTAATTTTTTCTTCAATTTCATTATTAATACTCCAAGAAGTGCATAATGACTAATTACTTATTTAAAATGAGATAAAAGGAATTTAATCAAATATCTCTAGTAATTAATTTATTAAATAATTATTCTAAATGAATGTGCCAAAACCTTAAGGGTTTTTTTGGTTTGGAATTAGAAGTTATAATCTCAAAAATTATCAGCATAAGTTTACACAATATTTGGTCGGGATTAAGGAGATTTAAACTCCACATACAAATTAGCATTAGTTAATGCAACTTTTGGTTGTTCCTTTTTATTTTTTCCCTCGTAAGTAATACCCGAATAAGTTACGCGGGAATCTACATATTAGTCTATGCCGGATAAAATATAAAATAAGAATATATGTTAATAATATATGAATTAAAAAGCTAAAATGATCAAACTAACCCTTATAATAGTAAGAAGTTTTTTTTCTTTTGAAAAGTTACTAACAAATATATTAAGCTATACATTTTACGCTAATAAGTAACATATCAAATTAAACAATCATCATGAAAGAATCTTTATATTGCTAATCTCTGTATCATTAATACTTACATTATAATTGTTATGAAATAATAAAAGAAGAAGAACAATATTGCAGAGAAAAGTAGGGAGAGAGTAATTCTTATTGATTTTTTGGGGTGAATTACAATGGAATAGAACCCTCTATTTATAGGGAGATGGTGACTTAGCCACCAAGTAATAAACCCTAGAATCTCTCTAAATATGGACATTCACCATAAATAGGATTCTATTTATAACACTCTCCCTGAATGTCTATTCAACAAATAATGTGCCTCGTTAAAACCTTAACTAAAAGAAAACCCAATGGGAAAAAAAACTTACTAGAAAAGGAAAAACGAGTACACATGTTTAGAAATGCGCCTATTGGTTGCCTCGTTAAAAACCTTGCAAGGAAAACCCAGTGGGACAAAACCTTGTAAGGGAAAAAGAGTGCAACGCGCATTAACTCCCCCTGATGAGAGCATCAATTCACATCCTTGAGCCTTCGCATCCCGATCTTGTACACTAGCTTCTTGAAGGTTGACGTTGGTAGAGATTTTGTGAACAAATCAGCCATATTATCACTTGAACGAATCTGTTGCACATTGATATCACCATTCTTTTTGAAGATCATGTGTGAAAAATAACTTTGGTGAAATGTGCTTTGTCCTATCCCCTTTTATGAATCCTCCCTTCAATTGAGCTATGCATGCTGCATTATCTTCATACAAAATTGTGGGTAGTTTGTCACATTTGAAACCACATTTGTCTCGAATAAGATGTATTATAGACCTCAACCACACACACTCTCGACTTGCTTCATGAATAGCAATTATCTCAGCATGATTAGATGAAGTAGCCACAATTGATTGCTTAGTCGATCGCCAAGATATGGCAGTGCCTCCACAGGTAAACACATAACCTGTTTGAGACCGAGCCTTGTGTGGATCGGATAAATACCCAGCATCAGCATAACCAACAAGATTGGGACTGCAATTGTTGCCATAAAATAAGCCCATATCGGTAGTCCCTTTTAGATACCGCAATATGTGTTTGATTCCATTCCAATGTCTCCTTGTGGGAGCAGAGCTATATCTTGCTAAGACATTAACTGAAAAAGTTATGTCGGGCCTTGTTGTATTAGCAAGATACATTAGTGCACCAACCGCACTAAGATATGGTACTTCAGGACCAAGTAGCTCTTCATTCTCTTCTTGAGGTCGGAATGGATCCTTATTCACATCAAGTGATCGAACAACCATCGGAGTACTTAATGGATGTGCTCCATCCATGTAAAACCGTTTCAATACCTTTTCTATGTAGGTAGATTGATGAACAAAAATTCCATTTGCCAAATGTTCAATTTGCAAACCAATACATAATTTTGTCTTTCCGAGATCTTTCATCTGAATTCCTTTTTTTAATAATCAATTGCCTTTTGGAGTTCTATAGGAGTTCCAATAAGGTTTATGTCATCAACATATACGGCAAGTACAACAAATTCCGATGTTGTTTTCTTTATAAAAACACATGGGCAAATGGCATCATTTATATAGCCTTCCTTTAATAAATACTCACTAAGACGATTATACCACATTCGTCCTGATTGCTTTAGACCATACAAAGATCTTTGCAATTTGATTGAAAACATTTCCCGGGACTTTGAATTATGTGCGTTTGGCATTTTAAATCCATCGGAAATTTTCATGTATATCTCATTATCAAGTGAGCCATAAAGGTAGGCGGTAACCACAACCATTAAATGCATGTCAAGCTTTTCATGTACAACAAAACTAATGAGATAACGGAACGTTATAGCATCCATAACGGGTGAATATGTCTCTTCATAATCGACACCAGGCCTTTGTGAAAATCCTTGTGCAACAAGGCGTGCCTTATATCTTTGTACCTCATTTTTCTCATTTCTCTTGCGTACAAAGACCCATTTATAGCCAACAGGCTTAACACCATTAGGTGTTTGGACTACAGGCCCAAAAACTTCACGTTTTGCAAGCGAATTCAACTCTGATTGGATTGCTTCTTGCCATTTTGGCCAATCAAGTCTTTGTCGACATTCTCCAACAGATTGAGGTTCAAGATCCTCACTTTCTTGCATAATGCTAGATGCAACATTATATGCAAAGAC